GGCGGGCGAGCGGGGGGTCGGCTCTCCAGAAGGCAGAGCAGAGGTTAAGCTCCTCACAGGGTTTCAGATCAAGCCTAGTATTAAAAGGACTAAAAGCTATTTCTTTGCTACAATAGAATACTACTCTGGGGTATAATTTCTGCCTTTATGCAACCTGATTAATCAATACTTCTAGGTCACCTTGAAACTTTTCAAGGGCAAAGGAATTGAATAATTTTTTTGCTTTCAGTGATGGAGCTGACCTGTAATTTCCCGTCTTCTTCCTGCTCCTGCAGGTTACCATGGAAACCTTTGATTAGTGTTTAAAAAGCGAAAGCATCATCAGGTGTTTGTGCCAGCCTCAAGGCTGCGGGGTCGTACCTGCCCTCGCTGTTCGCACCGGTGCCATGGGAGCAGGAGGGATTAGGCAGGACTTGGAATCCTGGGCAATGAGTTAATTGGCATCACCGTTTAGAAGAAGGTCTGGGAGAACCTGAAGTTACCTGTTTAAAAGAAAAAATAACAAATGATACTTGAAATAGGCTTATAAATGACTCCAGATGCTTCCTTCTGACATGGGTTTGTATCTGTTCCACGGACTCTGCAGCAAGGCTGCTCAAAACCAAAGAGCTGGTTTAGATCTCAGTTTCAAAACCTTCTGCGTTTACAGGCTCAGACCAAGGGCCAGGCGGTTCCAGGTACTCCTATCAGCCAAATATGTGCAAGGAATCTCATAACTGCTTAAGTGCTTTTCATTTAAAGGAAAACCTGGTGGTGTCTGAGTGAGAGACGTGGAGAGGGGAGGCAGGTAATACGGTGGGTTTCATGCTGCTTTGGTAGGGAAGGAGCTAAAACAAAACACAAACGATGAGCGTAGTGGTGTCTGCTATGTTAGGAAGAGAAACAGTTCCTGGTGGTTATTTCATGGGAAAAAAATAATCTCTGAGAAAGGCAGGAAACCAAGGAGCGGGAGCCTGCTTTGCTGAGCTTGCCGCCCTGCAGAAGCTGTCCTGGCCCTGGGGAGTGGAGATAAAGCTTCACATCTGCAGAAGATGTTTGGAGGGAGGAAGAGTGTGGCAGAAGGGACTGGGGCCTGCCTGTCCCCAGTGACCTGCGTGGGGAAGGGGGATGCTCTGGGTTGGGGACCTGTGGGGTTTGGGTGCTTCCCTGTCTGGCGAGGGGAGCTGAGAGCAGGGCATCCACAGCTAACGTGGGCGAAACCAAAGGGCCCCTTTCTGGCCCTGCCAAGCTGGGCTGCACTTCTCAGAGGGATTGCTTCATCTGTTTCTGGTTTTTGTGTGTTTGGGGTTTTTTTTAATTGTAAATAATGTATGGATAATCAAGATTTGCGTTTTTATCAGATGAGCTAAAGAAGTATTTCTCATGGTATTACTGCGGCGATCTCGTACACTAAAAGCAGAACTCAATGTGTGTCGGTCAAATAGAGAAAGAGAGCCTGCCCCACATTGCCTTACATCTCATGTCGTCTTGGTTTGTGTGTCCGCTGTTGCTCACTGAAAAGGGACACAGGGTTCCTCGTGTGGTGTGTGGCTGCCGTTAATAACAGTGATAAACCCGCCCCAATACAGCCGATATATTAAAAAATGGCAATTATTAACACAAATTAAGTGTCAGCTGGGATAAGCGCCTTTGAGGCGGTTGAGCAGTGCCCTTCCTCCTTCAGCAGAGAAGTCTCCTGGGTCTCGCGTGGTGGCTGGGTGCCCCCCTGCAATTCGGTGTGTGGAGAGGGGCCCTCGTGCCCCAGCGGGCCCCGCGCAGGCAGGGGGGGTGCCGGCGCC